TCGAAATGTGATTCATTAATAGACCGAAACATTTTCCTGTGAATTGGTTTATTAGTAGTTTAACAATTAAAAAAGATAAGCAAGGTAATGAAAATAAGAATGAGAATTGGCAAAATGATTAATCACCATAATAACAATGATTAAGTTACAATTTATGGATGAATGGATCGAGTGAAAAATATTTTCGCGACATAAAATTATTTTTATTATTTAAACATATTTACTAGAAATTATTCCAATTTTTACAACATTCCAAACTGAGAGAGTTATGAACTTCGCGGGAAGTATTTGAGATTTATTTTTGATAAATATTTGTTGCCTTCTTTGTATTTTATGGAAGTCTGTAGTAAATTCATAGGTCATGAGAATAGCAATAATTTCTCGTTGATTTGAAAAGGTATAATAATGAGGGAACATATCATGCTGATTTTACTTATACTATTTCAAGATTGAGAATGTTTTGAATGCCTAAAAGAAAGAGCTGAAGTAAAATGACTATTGAATAAATTTATGAGCTGTAAGTAAGGTTTTTTTCCAAAAATTTTATTTAGCATTCTCTTTTTGTAGCGTGTCTCAATTTATATATTATAATTGGTGTAATAGTTGCAAAAGTAATGGTAGAAGTGTTATCTTCCAAATTAATTAATCATATTCATTATATGAGTCACCGTGTTGATAAGTAAATTTGATAAAATATGTCAAGTATTACTTTTGATAAAACAAATAAAATACATGAGAATATTAAGTTTACAAACCCATGTTAAAATTTAGAATTAAACTTAACATATCAAAAGTTTATCAAGGTTGGCAAAAATGAGAAAATACTGCTATGCTTGAAAGGATTATTTTATTTTTCAAGGAAGTGAATCCGTAATACCGTAAGCAAAGCGATAAACTGAAAAATCAATTTATCAGCTCTTATCAGCAAGCTTATTCGGCTAGCAACAGCTAATTGCTTGAAATAAATTACTTGAAATACGGGAAAATGAATATTCCAATCATATATTTTTTAAATTAACATGCAATTGCTACGTCTCGCTCCTTTAGCCAAAATTTTATATTGCATTTGAAAAAATTTGCATAGAATTTGTTCCCATCTCAATCAAAATGCTTTATTTTTCACTAATTTTATTCGGTTCATCAATTGTTAAGATCCGATGTTTATCAGAGTTTTCGATGGTAATCAGAATGATGAAAATTTTCTAGCTGACAGCATTACCAATAATTACCGATTTTCTTCCAACATTTACTGTCAAGTGATATTTTAAAAGCTCCTTGCTATACGATTAAACAAAGTTAGTTTTGATAAAATTTAGTTTCTACTGCAAATTGAATTCTGGCAAAAGATGGATCGTTTTATATTTTGTGTTGCAAAAGTTTGACCGAAAAGATCCTTGCTGTAATGTAAGTAAAAGTGTGTTTAATGACATACTATAACTTAGGATCTCCCATTTAATGAAAAGCTCTCCTCAGAGTGAGAATCAATAATACATACTGCTAAATTTTTCTCTCCACTAATATCAACACAATTTTGAAGGTATAGAAAAACAATAGTTGAAATGAAATTATTCAGTATGATAGATCAAACATCAAATACTGTTATTTTATTGTTAAACGAGGATTATTAATACAAGTTGTTTGCCATTCACATCATTATAAGCATTTACAGATAGGATCCTTTGACAGTTTCTAATGAAAGCTATTTGGTGACCTCTGTCCTTCCACAAATACATTTAGTATTTCATTTATTTCAACAAAGAATGGCAATCTCTTCCAAAATTTCGTGTTGTATAAAAAAATTTACTGCGATAAACGTATCCATAAAATTTAGCTTTGGAATGGGAATAAGTTGCTATGCATGTTTCTTTGCATGTGATCAATGTCCTTATTGTACTACCAATGATTGCGCGACAGCTTCCTTTTCGATGCTAATATATTTCGAAATGCTTTGGAAAAAATTTCTTTTTTAAGCAACTAATCAAAATGAGAGCGGTGCGATTTCTTGTAAGCAACCATTTATAGTATATCGATAAATTTAAATATTTTTAGAACTGTCAGGAAATTACAACAATCAATATGTATTTCATCTACTTTTTCCTTCTGTTCCTCTCCCAATTAAACATCAAAACTGCAGTAAGTTCGTTAAAAATTGAAAAATAAAAAAACACTTTATTAATACGAAGAAATCACATATTCAACGAAAGATGAAATGAATAGTATCATGTAATTTCAGGAGGCGCAAACGGAAAAAACAATGCTTTTCAATTTATCGTTACCGGAAGTGAATGAAGAACGAATGGAACGACTGGATTCATTAATAGAAGTGGTTAAGGAACGGACAGCGTCGCCGAATATAGCTGCTCAAGAAGCGAATGCTGAACAAAAATTACGGAATCCTGTACCTCCAAAAAAAATATGGATGAAAAGACATATAATGGATCAGACGGATGAAAAGCTGAGTGGTTATTCGGAATGCAGCAAAACCTTCCTGCAAACATCCGATTTGCAAAAAAATTTGATAAATCGTACCCGCGAAAAGCCATACAATTGTTCAGAATGTGGAAAACGTTTCATTTCTTCATCAAATTTGAAAATTCATATGTTGACCCATACGGGTGTAAAGCCGCACGGTTGTACAAAATGCAAAAAAAATTTCTCTCAATTATCGAATTTGGAAAGACATATGAGGATTCATACCGGTGAAAAGCCGCACAATTGTTCAGAATGTGGAAAACGCTTCTATCGTTTATCGACTTTTAAAGTACATATGAGGATACATACCGGTGAAAAGCCGTACAATTGTTCAGAATGCGGAAAATGTTTTTCTAATTCATCGGATTTTAAAAAACATATACGGATTCATACCGGTGAAAAGCCGCACGGTTGTTCCGTATGCGAGAAAAGATTTTCTCGGAAAAGCGTTTTGAACAAGCACATGAAAACTCATCGCAAAGAGAATTCCTCATCCAATTGGATTGTACGCAACCAAAGCAATTCATTATGAAATCACATATGAAGAAGTTTGAGAAGGGAAATAGTTGAATGCATTTAAATTGAAATATATGCTGATATTTCTGGTACTGCAGAGTGTTTCTGCATTTCGTCAATTAAATTCTTGCAATTTAATCACAATTTCATCATTTTTCATCTTTGCCGTTACTGTCATCCCTTAACTATAAATTTCTAATTTTCCATTTGACATGCAGAATACCCATTGTTTTCTCGTTATATTCAATTGATGTTTCTCTTATTTCATTTCAGTGAATAAAATTTTCTATATTATTGCCAATCTGCATATTTATCATTACGAAATGTATAACAAACATTTTAATAAAATCCTATTTGACATAACAATTGGTATGTGAACATGAATAAGGAAAGCTGTGATAATGAGAGATCTGATATTCTAACCCATGTTAAAATTTAAAATTAAACTTAACATATCAAAAGTTTATCAAGGTTGGTAAAAATGAGAAATTACAATTATGCTTGAAAGGATTATTTTATTTTTCAAAATTTGAATTTAATCGAGAGAGTGATTTCGTAGTTCAAGCCACTTTTATGAATCCTTTCCCGGCAATATTCCGGGATTCATATATTTTAATGGTATCAAGCAACAAAGGAAAAGAATTGATTACGATAATTTAATTAGCGATAAAAACAAAGGAAGGGAATTGACTACGAGAATAAAATTAACGACAAAAAAGGCTATGAAAATGAAATGAGTTAAGCAAAGCGATAAACTGAAAAATGAAAAGTGACAGACTAACTGAAAAATGAAAAATGAAAGTTGGTCCTACGAATCTATTTACACCCAGAAACTTTAAGCACCTAGTCGTGAAGTAAAATTTTCTGATTTTATTCACATAAGCCTGCCAGAAGGACATAAAAGTAACATTACATAATAACATAATCATAAAAGCGTATTCTTATTGTTGCGGCACTTCATCTTTTTACTATTCAGGGTTTCTGGCATTCTAACTGCTGTCATGAAGAAATAAATAGATCTGATTTTTTAAGAATAGTTTCCGGTTTTATTGGATTGCATGCTAAGATACGATGTTTATCGGAGTTCTCGATGATAATCAGAATGATGAAAATTTTGTGGCCGACAGCATTACCAATAATTACCGATTTTCTTTCATCATTTAGTGTCAAGCGATACTTTAGAAGCTTTATTTTCTATTGCAAGTTGAATTCTGGCAAAATTCGATTCGTTTTACTTTTTGTGTAGCAGAAGTTCAGACCGAAAATTTTTTGCTGTAATTTAAGTGAAGGTGTGTTTTTAATGACATATTATAACTTGCGGTTTCTCATTTGATGAAAAAACTCTTTTCAGGGAGAGAATCAATAATATATTTCTTCAGAATCATATATAAATTAATAATATATGTAGCTAAATCTTTTCCTCTCATTAATATCAATTCAATCTTAAAGGTACGAATAAATAAAACAAAATTCAGCAAAAAATATCGCCAATGCTTTGTATAAATTATAATTCATAATACAATGCAATGAAATGAAATTATTCAGTATGGTAGATTAAATACCAAATACTGTTATTTAATTGTCAAACGCGGATTATTAATACACACTGTTTGCATTCTCGTCTTTATATGCATTTACAGATAGGATCCTTTGACAGTTTTAATAAAAGCTATTTAGTGACCTTTGTCCTTCCACAAATATCATTCAATAAACAGTATTTCATTTCTTTCAACGGAGAATGGTAGTCTCTTCCCAAAATTTCGTGTTATATAAAAAATTTACTGTGATAGAAGCATCCATAAAATTTAACTTCAGAATGGGAATAAGTTGCTATGCGTGTTGTTTGCATGTGATTAATGTAGTGTCAATGATTGCGCGACAGCTTCCCTTTCGATGCTAATATATTTCGAAATGTATTATTTGGAAAAATTCCTTTTTTAAGCAATTAGCCAAAGTGCGTTTATTATAAGCAACCATTTATAGTATATTGATAAATTTGAATATATTTTAGAACTTTCAGGAAGTTGCAACTATCAGTATGTATTTCATCTACTTTCTCCTCCTCTTCTTCTACCAATTAAACAACAAAACTACAGTAAGTTCATTAAAAATTAAAAAATACAACACTTTATTAATACGAAGATATCACATTTTCAACGAAAGATGAAATGGATAGTATGATGTAATTTCAGGAGGCGCAAACGGAAAAAACAATGCTTTTCAATTTATCGTTACCGGAAGTGAATGAAGAACGAATGGAACGACTGGATTCATTAATAGAAGTGGTTAAGGAACGGACAGCGTCGCCGAATATAGCTGCCCAAGAAACGAATGCTGAACAAAAATTACGGAATCCTGTATCTCCAAAAAAAATATGGATGAAAAGACATATAATGGATCAGACGGATGAAAAGCTGAGTGGTTATTCGGAATGCAACAAAACTTTCTTGCAATCATCCTTGCAAAAAAATTTGATAAATCGTACCCGCGAAAAGCCATACAATTGTTCAGAATGTGGAAAACGTTTCATTTCTTCATCAAAATTGAAAATTCATATGTTGACCCATACGGGTGTAAAGCCGCACGGTTGTACAAAATGCAAAAAAAATTTCTCCCAATTGTCGAGTTTGGAAAGACATATGAGGATTCATACCGGTGAAAAACCGTATAATTGTACAGAATGTGGAAAACGTTTCTCTCATTCATTTGCTATTAAAACACATATGAGGATTCATACCGGTGAAAAGCCGTACAATTGTTCAGAATGTGGAAAACGTTTCTCTGATTCATCAAATTTTAGAGAACATATGAGGATTCATACCGCTGAAAAGCCGCACAATTGTTCAGAATGTGGAAAACGTTTCTCTCATTCATTTGCTTTTAAAACACATATGAGGATTCATACCGGTGAAAAGCCGTACAATTGTTCAGAATGTGGAAAACGTTTCTCTGATTCATCAAATTTTAGAGAACATATGAGGACTCATACCGGTGAAAAGCCGTACAATTGTTCAGAATGTGGAAAACGTTTCGCTGATTCATCAAATTTTAAAGAACATATGAGGATTCATACTGGTGAAAAGCCGCACAATTGTCCAGAATGCGGAAAACGCTTCTCTCGTTTATCCACTTTTAAAGTACATACGAGGTTTCATACCGGTGAAAAGCCGTACAATTGTTCAGAATGCGGAAAATGTTTTTCTAATTCATCGGATTTAAAAAAACATATACGGATTCATACCGGCGAAAAGCCGTACGGTTGTTCCGTGTGCGAGAAAAGATTTTCTCTGAAAAGCGTTTTGAACAAGCACATGAAAACTCATCGCAAAGAAAATTCCTCATCCAATTGGATTGTATGCAACCAAAGCAATTCATCATGAAATCACATATGAAGAAGTTTGAGAAAGGAAATTGTTGAATGCATTTAAATTAAAAATATATGCTGATATTTCTGCTACTGCAGAGTGCTTCTTATTTCATCAATCGTATTCTTACAATTTAATCACAACTTCATCATTCATCCTTAACCATTCATTCTTTATCATACTTTATTCATGTTTGCTGTTACTGTCATTATTTAACTATATGTTTTTAATTTCCCATTTGACATGTATAATACCTATTGTTTTTTCGTTATATTCATTTGCTGTTTCTCTTATTTCATTTCAGTGATTAAGATTTCCGATATTATTACCAATCTGCATGTTTATCGTTGTGAAATGCATGACAAACATTTTAATAAAGATCTATTGGACAACAACGATTGGTGAGTGAACATAAATAAGAAAAACTGTGATAATGGAAGATCCGATATTCTAACCCATGTTAAAAATTAAAATAAAGCTTGTCATTTCAAAAGTTTATCACGGTTGATATAAATGAGAAATTACAATAATACTTGAAAGGATTATTTTATCTTTCGAAATTTGAATTTAATCGAGAAAACCTCTGGAAACACTTGGCATGTGCATGGGGGATTTCATCATTGTTCTTATGCAAATAAAATCATTTATCTATTTACGTTTAATAACTGGGCGATGAAAATAAGTTCAGGTGAAAAGAATGAGAACATAAGGGGGCAACTAACTGTCAACATTGGTGATCTGAAAACATCAAATAAGTAATAATTTAATCAAAGAAACGATAACTAGTTTTAAAATCCAACAGATAACTTTATATCATCTCTCTATGAATTGCACTAGGTTATTGAGTTGGCCCTACAAATCCATTTACAACCAGAAATTTTTGGCACCAAGACGTGAAGTAGATTTTTCTGATTTTACTCATATAAGTTCGCCATAATGACCATTAGTCATAAAAGCGTATATAGTTCTTTTTGTTACGGTGTTTTCATCTTGTTGCTGTTCAGCGTTTCTGGCATTCTAACTCTTGTCATGAAGAAATAAATAGATATGATTTTTTAAAATAGTTTCTGGCTTTATTGGAATGCACGCTATCATCCGATTCATCGGAGTTTCATCGGAGATTCATCGGAGTTCTCAATGGCAATCAGAATGATGAAAATTATGTGGCTGACAGCACTACCAATAATCACCGATTTTCTTTCAGCATTAAGTGTCAAATGATACTTTAAAAGCTTCTTGCCATACAATTAAATAAAGTTAGTTTTGATGAAATTTATTTTCTATTGCAAGTTGAATTCTGGCAAAATTTAATTCGTTTTACTTTTTTGTGTTGCAAAAGTTTTGACCGATAACTTTTTTATTGTTGTAATTTAAGTAAAAATGTGTTTTTAATGACATATCATAACTTATGTTTTCCTATTTGATAAAAAAACCCTTCTCAGGGTGAGCATCAATAACATATTTCTTCGGAACTGTATATAAAACAATAATATATATTGCAAAATACTCCCTTCTTACTAATATCATCTCAATTTTGAAGGTATGGAAAAACTATTGGAAGAACTGCCAATTATTAAAAATAATTTATGCTTTGCATAAATTATTTTTAATAATTGGCAATTTTATATGCTTTGCATATAATATTACATATAATATTGCCAATTATTATATATTGCCAATTATTATTAAAAATAAAAAATATTGCCAATTATTAAAAATAATTTATGCTTTGCATAAATTATTTTTAATAATTCAACACAATAGTTAAAATGAAATTATTCAATATGATAGATTAAACATCAAATACTGTTATTTTATTGTTAAATGTGGATTATCAATACACGTTGTTTGCATTCCCATCTTTATAAGCATTTACAGATACGATCCTTTGACAGTTTCTAATAAAAGCTATTTGGTGACCTCTGTCCTTCCACAAACCTCATTCAGCAAACACTACATCAATTATTTCAACGAAGATTGGTAATCACTTCCCATAATTTCGCGTTATATAAAAAAACTTTATATAAACGTATCCATAAGATGAACGTATCCATAAAATTTAGCTTTGGAATTGGAATAAGTTGCTATGCGTGTTATTTGCATGTGATCAATATCCTTGCATGTGATCATGCAATATACTTATTGTATTACCAATGACGCGCGACAATTTGCTTTTCGATGCTAATACATTTCGAAATGTATTGTTTGAAAGAAATTTCATTTTAAGCAATTTGTCAAAGTGCGAGCGGTATGATTTCTTATAAGCAACGATTGGTAGTATTTTGATAAATTTGAAAATTTTTTAGAACTGTCAGGAAATTACAACAATCAATATGTATTTTATCGACTTTATCCTTCTCTTCCTCTTCCAAATAAACATCAAAACTACAGTAAGTTCGTTAAAAATTGAAAAATAAAATACTTCAATATTTCGAAGACATCACATATTCAACGAAAGATGAAATGGATAGTATAATGTAATTTCAGAAGGCGCAAACGGAACAAACAATGCATTTCAATTTATCGTTGACGGAAGTGAGTGAAGAACGAATGGAACTACCGGATTCATTAATAGAAGAAGCGATTAAGGAACAATTAGTGTCCTTGAATGTAGCGATCCATGGAGCGAATGCTGAACAAAATTTACAGAACGCTGTTTCTCCAAAAAAAATATGGATGAAAAGACATATAGTGGATCAGACGAATGAAAACCTGCGTGGTTGTTCGGAATGCAACAAAACCACCTCTCAATCATCCGATTTGCAAAAAAATTTGGTAAATCGTACCGGCGAAAAGCCGCAAACTCATATGGTGGCCCATATCGTTAAAGAGACAGAGTCACCGAATATACTAGTGCAGAGGCCGAATGCTGAACAAGAAGGACATCCTGCATCTCAAGCCGGTAAAAAGTCGCACGATTGTTTCAAATGCCATCATTGTTCTTATGCAAATAAAATCATTTATCAGTTTGCATTTAATAATTGGGCCCTTTATCATATATAATATTTATGCATCTTTCGCCCCAATAAATGATGATACCAAATTTGCTGATAAAGATGAATCGGAGAGAATTTTGCACAGAATTGCTAATTAGGAAAGGTAAGAATCCAGGGAAATAATAATAACAGGCTATTATCGCATCGATTAGATTTATTTCAATTTGATGGAAAATCGTTGGAGCACAATGAATTTGTTATGCTTTTTTTTGAATATTTCGTTACCATTCTTTATATGCTACAAAACATGCAAGTATTAACCACAATTGGAAATTCAAATTACAACCAATAAGGACAATCCTAATACTTTCAATTATACCTACGAATATCCTAGCATATTCTGCAGCTAAATTCTTACATTAATTTTCAAATTCTTCATGCGACCCATTTTAATTTCAGTGCTGCTAATGTTTTCGATTATCGTTTTAGATGATTCAGTCTTCACAGAAATATTAATGCAAAGATATGTAATAAATGATTTGATGACATTTAAATGATGAAGGAAAAGCTGAATCATCATCAAACGTCTCACTAATGCTCATAAATTCACTTCGGACTATTAAAATTCAAAATAATGTTTTACCGAAATTAAATTATTGAGGGAGCAAATAACTATCAACATTGGTGATCTGTGAACATCAAACAAGTAATGATTTAATCAGCGAATTGATCAAAGAAGCGATAATTAGTTTTAAAATCCAACAGACAACATTATATCATCACCCGATGAATTGCACTAGGCTATTGAGTTGGTCCTACATACCCATTTGCAACCCAGGAATTTTAGGCACCAAGACGTGAGGTAGATTTTTCTGATTTTACTCACATCAGCTCGCCATAAAGACCATTAGTCATAAAAGCGTGTTCAGTTCTTTTTGTTACGGTATTTCATTTTGTTGCTGTTCAGCTTTTCTCGCATTTTAACTGTTGCCATGAAAAAATAAATAGAGCTGATTTTTTAAAACAGTTTCTGGCTTTATTAGAATGCACGCTGTGATCCGATGTTCATCGGAGTTCTCGATGGCAATCAGAATGATGAAAATTTTGTGGCTGACAGCGCTACCAATAATCACCGATTTTCTATCAGCATTTAGTATCAAGTGGTACTTTAAAAGCTACTTTAAAGCTCCATACAATTAAATAAAGTTAGTTTTGATGAATTTCTATTGCAAGTTGAATTCTGGCAAAATTTGATTCGTTTTACTTTGTGTTGCAAAAGTTTTTTGTTGTTGTAATTTAAGTAAAGGTGTGTTTTTAATGACATATCATAACTTATGTTTTCCCATTTGATGAGAAGCTCTTTTCAGGGTGAAAATCAATAATATATTTCTTCAGAATTATATACAAATCAATAATATATATTGCTTAATTTTTCCCTCTCACTAATATCAATTTAATTATGAAGGTATGGGTAAACCAAAACGAAATTGTGCTAAAAATATTGCCAATGCTTTGCATAAATTATATTTCATAATTCAATGCAATGAAATGAAATTATTCAGTATGATAGATTAAACATCAAATACTGTATTTTATTGTTAAACGTGGATTATATTTATATATGTTGTTTGTCATTCGCATCTTTATAAGAATTTACAGACACGATCCATTGACAGTTTCTCTTGAAAGCTATTTGGTGACCTCTTCCTCTTACAAATTTCATTCAGTAAACAGTATTTCATTTATTTCAACAAGCAATGGTAGTCTCTTCCCAAAATTTCACGTTATATAAAAAACCTTACTGCGACAGACGTATCCATAAAATTTAACTTCGGGAATAAGTTGAATGGGAATAAGTTGCTGTGCGTGTTTGTTTGCATGTGATAAATGTTTTTATTGTACTAGCAATGATTGCGCGACAGTTTCCTTTTCGATGCTAATATATTTCTAATGTATTGTTTGGAAGAAATTTCTTTTGAACAATTTGTCAAAGAGCGAGCGATGTGATTTCTTATAAGCAACCATTTATAGTATATCGATAAATTTAAATATTTTTAGAACTGTCAGGAAATTACAACAATCAATATGTATTTCATCAATCTTCTCCTCCCCTTCTTCTTCCAATTAGACATCCAAACTGCAGTAAGTTCATTAAAAATTAAAAAATAAAACACTTTATTAATACGAAGATATCACATTTTCAACGATGAATGAAATGGATAGTATCATGTAATTTCAGGAGGCGCAAACGGAACAAACAATGCTCTTGAATTTATCGTTGCCGGAAGTGAGTGAAGAACGAATGGAATTATGGGATTCATTAATAGAAGAGGAAGTTAAGGAACAGATAGCGTCGAATGTACAAATCCAAGTAGCGAATGCCGAACAAAAATTACAGAATCCTGTATCTCCAAAAAAAATATGGATGAGACGATATGTAATGGATCAGACGGATGAAAAGCTGCGGGGTTATTCGGAACGCAACAAAACTTCCTTTCAATCATCGGATTTGCAAAAAAGTTTGATAAATCGTACCGGTGAAAAGCCGTACAGTTGTTCAGAATGTGGAAAACGATTCGCTCATTTATCGGCTTTTAAAACACATATGAGGATTCATACCGGTGAAAAGCCGTACAATTGTTCAGAATGTGGGAAACGTTTCATTTCTTCATCAAATTTGCAAATTCATTTGTTGACCCACACGGGTGAAAAGCCGTATAGTTGTCCAGAATGCAAAAAAAAATTCTCTCAACTATCGAGTATGGAGAGACATATGAGGATTCATACCGGTGAAAAGCCGTATAATTGTACGGAATGTGGAAAACGTTTCTCCCATCCATTTGCTTTTAAAACACATATGAGGATTCATACTGGTGAAAAGCCGCACAATTGTTCAGAATGTGGAAAATGTTTCTCTGATTTTTCGGGTTTTAAAAGACATATATGGATTCATACCGGCAAGAAGCCGTACAATTGTTCAGAATGTAGAAAATGTTTCTCTGATTTATCGGGTTTTAAAAAACATATATGGATTCATACTGGTGAGAAGCCGCACAATTGTTCAGAATGTGGAAAACGTTTCGCTGATCCATCAAATTTTAGGGAACATATGAGGATTCATACTGGTGAAAAGCCGCACAGTTGTTCAGAATGTGGAAAACGCTTCTCTCGTTTATCGACTTTTAAAGTACATATGAGGATACATACCGGTGAAAAGCCGTACAATTGTTCAGAATGCGGAAAATGTTTTTCTAATTCATCGGATTTAAAAAAACATGTACGGATTCATACCGGCGAAAAGCCGTACGGTTGTTCCGTGTGCGAGAAAAGATTTTCTCTGAAAAGCGTTTTGAACAAGCACATGAAAACTCATCGCAAAGAAAATTCCTCATCCAATTGGATTGTATGCAACCAAAGCAATTCATCATGAAATCACATATGAAGAAGTTTGAGAAAGGAAATTGTTGAATGCATTTAAATTAAAAATATATGCTGATATTTCTGCTACTGCAGAGTGCTTCTTATTTCATCAATCGTATTCTTACAATTTAATCACAACTTCATCATTCATCCTTAACCATTCATTCTTTATCATACTTTATTCATGTTTGCTGTTACTGTCATTATTTAACTATATGTTTTTAATTTCCCATTTGACATGTATAATACCTATTGTTTTTTCGTTATATTCATTTGCTGTTTCTCTTATTTCATTTCAGTGATTAAGATTTCCGATATTATTACCAATCTGCATGTTTATCGTTGTGAAATGCATGACAAACATTTTAATAAAGATCTATTGGACAACAACGATTGGTGAGTGAACATAAATAAGAAAAACTGTGATAATGGAAGATCCGATATTCTAACCCATGTTAAAAATTAAAATAAAGCTTGTCATTTCAAAAGTTTATCACGGTTGATATAAATGAGAAATTACAATAATACTTGAAAGGATTATTTTATCTTTCGAAATTTGAATTTAATCGAGAAAACCTCTGGAAACACTTGGCATGTGCATGGGGGATTTCATCATTGTTCTTATGCAAATAAAATCATTTATCTATTTACGTTTAATAACTGGGCGATGAAAATAAGTTCAGGTGAAAAGAATGAGAACATAAGGGGGCAACTAACTGTCAACATTGGTGATCTGAAAACATCAAATAAGTAATAATTTAATCAAAGAAACGATAACTAGTTTTAAAATCCAACAGATAACTTTATATCATCTCTCTATGAATTGCACTAGGTTATTGAGTTGGCCCTACAAATCCATTTACAACCAGAAATTTTTGGCACCAAGACGTGAAGTAGATTTTTCTGATTTTACTCATATAAGTTCGCCATAATGACCATTAGTCATAAAAGCGTATATAGTTCTTTTTGTTACGGTGTTTTCATCTTGTTGCTGTTCAGCGTTTCTGGCATTCTAACTCTTGTCATGAAGAAATAAATAGATATGATTTTTTAAAATAGTTTCTGGCTTTATTGGAATGCACGCTATCATCCGATTCATCGGAGTTTCATCGGAGATTCATCGGAGTTCTCAATGGCAATCAGAATGATGAAAATTATGTGGCTGACAGCACTACCAATAATCACCGATTTTCTTTCAGCATTAAGTGTCAAATGATACTTTAAAAGCTTCTTGCCATACAATTAAATAAAGTTAGTTTTGATGAAATTTATTTTCTATTGCAAGTTGAATTCTGGCAAAATTTAATTCGTTTTACTTTTTTGTGTTGCAAAAGTTTTGACCGATAACTTTTTTATTGTTGTAATTTAAGTAAAAATGTGTTTTTAATGACATATCATAACTTATGTTTTCCTATTTGATAAAAAAACCCTTCTCAGGGTGAGCATCAATAACATATTTCTTCGGAACTGTATATAAAACAATAATATATATTGCAAAATACTCCCTTCTTACTAATATCATCTCAATTTTGAAGGTATGGAAAAACTATTGGAAGAACTGCCAATTATTAAAAATAATTTATGCTTTGCATAAATTATTTTTAATAATTGGCAATTTTATATGCTTTGCATATAATATTACATATAATATTGCCAATTATTATATATTGCCAATTATTATTAAAAATAAAAAATATTGCCAATTATTAAAAATAATTTATGCTTTGCATAAATTATTTTTAATAATTCAACACAATAGTTAAAATGAAATTATTCAATATGATAGATTAAACATCAAATACTGTTATTTTATTGTTAAATGTGGATTATCAATACACGTTGTTTGCATTCCCATCTTTATAAGCATTTACAGATACGATCCTTTGACAGTTTCTAATAAAAGCTATTTGGTGACCTCTGTCCTTCCACAAACCTCATTCAGCAAACACTACATCAATTATTTCAACGAAGATTGGTAATCACTTCCCATAATTTCGCGTTATATAAAAAAACTTTATATAAACGTATCCATAAGATGAACGTATCCATAAAATTTAGCTTTGGAATTGGAATAAGTTGCTATGCGTGTTATTTGCATGTGATCAATATCCTTGCATGTGATCATGCAATATACTTATTGTATTACCAATGACGCGCGACAATTTGCTTTTCGATGCTAATACATTTCGAAATGTATTGTTTGAAAGAAATTTCATTTTAAGCAATTTGTCAAAGTGCGAGCGGTATGATTTCTTATAAGCAACGATTGGTAGTATTTTGATAAATTTGAAAATTTTTTAGAACTGTCAGGAAATTACAACAATCAATATGTATTTTATCGACTTTATCCTTCTCTTCCTCTTCCAAATAAACATCAAAACTACAGTAAGTTCGTTAAAAATTGAAAAATAAAATACTTCAATATTTCGAAGACATCACATATTCAACGAAAGATGAAATGGATAGTATAATGTAATTTCAGAAGGCGCAAACGGAACAAACAATGCATTTCAATTTATCGTTGACGGAAGTGAGTGAAGAACGAATGGAACTACCGGATTCATTAATAGAAGAAGCGATTAAGGAACAATTAGTGTCCTTGAATGTAGCGATCCATGGAGCGAATGCTGAACAAAATTTACAGAACGCTGTTTCTCCAAAAAAAATATGGATGAAAAGACATATAGTGGATCAGACGAATGAAAACCTGCGTGGTTGTTCGGAATGCAACAAAACCACCTCTCAATCATCCGATTTGCAAAAAAATTTGGTAAATCGTACCGGCGAAAAGCCGCAAACTCATATGGTGGCCCATATCGTTAAAGAGACAGAGTCACCGAATATACTAGTGCAGAGGCCGAATGCTGAACAAGAAGGACATCCTGCATCTCAAGCCGGTAAAAAGTCGCACGATTGTTTCAAATGCCATCATTGTTCTTATGCAAATAAAATCATTTATCAGTTTGCATTTAATAATTGGGCCCTTTATCATATATAATATTTATGCATCTTTCGCCCCAATAAATGATGATACCAAATTTGCTGATAAAGATGAATCGGAGAGAATTTTGCACAGAATTGCTAATTAGGAAAGGTAAGAATCCAGGGAAATAATAATAACAGGCTATTATCGCATCGATTAGATTTATTTCAATTTGATGGAAAATCGTTGGAGCACAATGAATTTGTTATGCTTTTTTTTGAATATTTCGTTACCATTCTTTATATGCTACAAAACATGCAAGTATTAACCACAATTGGAAATTCAAATTACAACCAATAAGGACAATCCTAATACTTTCAATTATACCTACGAATATCCTAGCATATTCTGCAGCTAAATTCTTACATTAATTTTCAAATTCTTCATGCGACCCATTTTAATTTCAGTGCTGCTAATGTTTTCGATTATCGTTTTAGATGATTCAGTCTTCACAGAAATATTAATGCAAAGATATGTAATAAATGATTTGATGACATTTAAATGATGAAGGAAAAGCTGAATCATCATCAAACGTCTCACTAATGCTCATAAATTCACTTCGGACTATTAAAATTCAAAATAATGTTTTACCGAAATTAAATTATTGAGGGAGCAAATAACTATCAACATTGGTGATCTGTGAACATCAAACAAGTAATGATTTAATCAGCGAATTGATCAAAGAAGCGATAATTAGTTTTAAAATCCAACAGACAACATTATATCATCACCCGATGAATTGCACTAGGCTATTGAGTTGGTCCTACATACCCATTTGCAACCCAGGAATTTTAGGCACCAAGACGTGAGGTAGATTTTTCTGATTTTACTCACATCAGCTCGCCATAAAGACCATTAGTCATAAAAGCGTGTTCAGTTCTTTTTGTTACGGTATTTCATTTTGTTGCTGTTCAGCTTTTCTCGCATTTTAACTGTTGCCATGAAAAAATAAATAGAGCTGATTTTTTAAAACAGTTTCTGGCTTTATTAGAATGCACGCTGTGATCCGATGTTCATCGGAGTTCTCGATGGCAATCAGAATGATGAAAATTTTGTGGCTGACAGCGCTACCAATAATCACCGATTTTCTATCAGCATTTAGTATCAAGTGGTACTTTAAAAGCTACTTTAAAGCTCCATACAATTAAATAAAGTTAGTTTTGATGAATTTCTATTGCAAGTTGAATTCTGGCAAAATTTGATTCGTTTTACTTTGTGTTGCAAAAGTTTTTTGTTGTTGTAATTTAAGTAAAGGTGTGTTTTTAATGACATATCATAACTTATGTTTTCCCATTTGATGAGAAGCTCTTTTCAGGGTGAAAATCAATAATATATTTCTTCAGAATTATATACAAATCAATAATATATATTGCTTAATTTTTCCCTCTCACTAATATCAATTTAATTATGAAGGTATGGGTAAACCAAAACGAAATTGTGCTAAAAATATTGCCAATGCTTTGCATAAATTATATTTCATAATTCAATGCAATGAAATGAAATTATTCAGTATGATAGATTAAACATCAAATACTGTATTTTATTGTTAAACGTGGATTATATTTATATATGTTGTTTGTCATTCGCATCTTTATAAGAATTTACAGACACGATCCATTGACAGTTTCTCTTGAAAGCTATTTGGTGACCTCTTCCTCTTACAAATTTCATTCAGTAAACAGTATTTCATTTATTTCAACAAGCAATGGTAGTCTCTTCCCAAAATTTCACGTTATATAAAAAACCTTACTGCGACAGACGTATCCATAAAATTTAACTTCGGGAATAAGTTGAATGGGAATAAGTTGCTGTGCGTGTTTGTTTGCATGTGATAAATGTTTTTATTGTACTAGCAATGATTGCGCGACAGTTTCCTTTTCGATGCTAATATATTTCTAATGTATTGTTTGGAAGAAATTTCTTTTGAACAATTTGTCAAAGAGCGAGCGATGTGATTTCTTATAAGCAACCATTTATAGTATATCGATAAATTTAAATATTTTTAGAACTGTCAGGAAATTACAACAATCAATATGTATTTCATCAATCTTCTCCTCCCCTTCTTCTTCCAATTAGACATCCAAACTGCAGTAAGTTCATTAAAAATTAAAAAATAAAACACTTTATTAATACGAAGATATCACATTTTCAACGATGAATGAAATGGATAGTATCATGTAATTTCAGGAGGCGCAAACGGAACAAACAATGCTCTTGAATTTATCGTTGCCGGAAGTGAGTGAAGAACGAATGGAATTATGGGATTCATTAATAGAAGAGGAAGTTAAGGAACAGATAGCGTCGAATGTACAAATCCAAGTAGCGAATGCCGAACAAAAATTACAGAATCCTGTATCTCCAAAAAAAATATGGATGAGACGATATGTAATGGATCAGACGGATGAAAAGCTGCGGGGTTATTCGGAACGCAACAAAACTTCCTTTCAATCATCGGATTTGCAAAAAAGTTTGATAAATCGTACCGGTGAAAAGCCGTACAGTTGTTCAGAATGTGGAAAACGATTCGCTCATTTATCGGCTTTTAAAACACATATGAGGATTCATACCGGTGAAAAGCCGTACAATTGTTCAGAATGTGGGAAACGTTTCATTTCTTCATCAAATTTGCAAATTCATTTGTTGACCCACACGGGTGAAAAGCCGTATAGTTGTCCAGAATGCAAAAAAAAATTCTCTCAACTATCGAGTATGGAGAGACATATGAGGATTCATACCGGTGAAAAGCCGTATAATTGTACGGAATGTGGAAAACGTTTCTCCCATCCATTTGCTTTTAAAACACATATGAGGATTCATACTGGTGAAAAGCCGCACAATTGTTCAGAATGTGGAAAATGTTTCTCTGATTTTTCGGGTTTTAAAAGACATATATGGATTCATACCGGCAAGAAGCCGTACAATTGTTCAGAATGTAGAAAATGTTTCTCTGATTTATCGGGTTTTAAAAAACATATATGGATTCATACTGGTGAGAAGCCGCACAATTGTTCAGAATGTGGAAAACGTTTCGCTGATCCATCAAATTTTAGGGAACATATGAGGATTCATACTGGTGAAAAGCCGCACAGTTGTTCAGAATGTGGAAAACGCTTCTCTCGTTTATCGACTTTTAAAGTACATATGAGGATACATACCGGTGAAAAGCCGTACAATTGTTCAGAATGCGGAAAATGTTTTTCTAATTCATCGGATTTAAAAAAACATGTACGGATTCATACCGGCGAAAAGCCGTACGGTTGTTCCGTGTGCGAGAAAAGATTTTCTCTGAAAAGCGTTTTGAACAAGCACATGAAAACTCATCGCAAAGAGAATTCCTCATCCAATTGGACTGTATGCAACCAAAGCAATTCATCATGNCATACCGGTGAAAAGCCGTACAATTGTTCAGAATGCGGAAAATGTTTTTCTAATTCATCGGATTTAAAAAAACATGTACGGATTCATACCGGCGAAAAGCCGTACGGTTGTTCCGTGTGCGAGAAAAGATTTTCTCTGAAAAGCGTTTTGAACAAGCACATGAAAACTCATCGCAAAGAGAATTCCTCATCCAATTGGACTGTATGCAACCAAAGCAATTCATCATGAAATCACATATGAAGAAGTTTGAGAAAGGAAATAGTTGAATGCATTTAAATTGAAATATATACTGATATTTCTGCTACTGCAGAGTGCTTCTGTATTTCATCAATCGTATTCTTACAATTTAATCACAACTTCATCATTCATAATCATTCATACTTTATCCTACTTTTTTCATCATTGTCGTTACTGTCACCTCTTGACTATAAGTTTTTAATTTTCTATTTGACATGCAGAATATTCATTGTTTTCCCGTTATATTCATTTGCTATTTCCCTTATTTCATTTCAGTGGATAAAATTTTCTATATTATTACCAATCTGCATGTTTATAGTTGTGAAATGCATAACAAACATTTCAATAAAATCCTATTGGACAACAACGACTGGTATGTGGACATAAATAAGAAAAGCTGTGGTAATGGAATATCTGATATTCTGATCCATGTTAACTTAACATTTCAAAAGTTTATTAAAGTTGATATAAATGAGAAAATTCAATCATGCCTGATAGGATTACTTTATTTTTCAAAATTTGAATTTTATCGAGAAAATCTTTGAATTGCTTGGCATGTATGTGGAAGATTTCATATTGTTCTTATGCAAATAAAATCATTTATCTGTTTGCATTTAATAATTGGGCCCTTTATCATATATAATATTTATGCATCTTTTGCCCTAATAAATGATGATATCAAATTTGCTGATAAAGATGAATCGGAGAGAGTTTTACACAGAATTGTTAATCAGGAAAGGTAAGAATCCAAGGTAATAATAATAACAGGTCATTATAGTATCGATTACATTTTATTTCAATTTGATTTTGCATTTCTTATATGCTACGAACATGCCAAGTATTAATTACAACTGGAGATTCAAATTACGACCAGTAAGGACAATCCTAAAACTTTCAATTATACCTACCTTTATCCTAGCATATTCTGCAGCACTAAATCTATACACTAATATTCAAATTTTTCATGCAACCATTTTGATTTACAGTGCTGCTAATGTTTTCGATGATTCACCCTTCACTGAAATATTAATGTAAAGATTCGTAATAAATGATTTTATGACATTCAAATGATGAAGGAAAAGCTTAATCATCATCAGACGTCTCACTGATGTTCATATATCAACCTGAGACTATTAAAATTCAAAGTAATGTATTACCGAAATTGAATTGTTGAGGGATCAGCTAACTGTCAACACTGGCGATCTGAGAACATAAAACAAGCAAAAATTTAATCATCGAATAGATCAAAGAAACGATAACTAGATCATCACCCTATGAATTGCACTAGACGATTGAGAGTAGTGCTACAAATCCATTTACAGCCTAGAAATTTTAAGCATCAAGTCGTGAAGTAAAATTTGCTGATTTTACTCACATAGGCTTGGGATAAGGACCATTAATCATAAAAGCATGTTTTCTTTGTTGCGGTATTTTATCTTATTACTGTTCAGAGTTCCAGGCATTCTAACTGAAAAAATAAATAGATCTCATTTTTTAAAATAGTTTCTGGCTTTATTAGTATGCACGCTAAGATTCGATGCTTATCAGAGTTTTCGATGGTAATCAGAATGATGAAAATTTTCTAGCTGACAGCACTACCAATAATCATCGATTTTCTTTCAGCATTTAGTGTCAAATGATACTTTAAAAGCTCCTTGCCATATGATTAAATAATGTTAGTTTTGATGAAATTTATTTTCTATTGCAAGTTGAATTCTGGCAAAATTTGATTCGTTTTACTTTTTGTGTTGCAAAAGTTTTTTGTTGTAATTTAAGTAAAGGTGTGTTTTTAATGACATATCATAACTTATGTTTTCCCATTTGATGAGAAGCTCTTCTCAGGGTGAGAATCAATAATATGTTTCTTCAGAATTACATACAAATCAATAATATATATTGCTTAATTTTTCCCTCTCACTAATATCAATTCAATTATGAAGGTACGGGTAAACCAAAACGAAATTGTACAAAAAATATTGCCAATGCTTTGCATAAATTGTCTTTTCATAATTCAATACAATAGTAAAATTATAATTGTTCAGTATGATAGATTAAACATAAATGCTGTCATTTTATTGTTATTATACGTTGTTTGCCATTACCACCTTTATAAGCATTTACAGATACGATCCTTTGACAGTTTCTAATAAAAGCTATTTGGTGACCTCTGTCCTTCCACAAATATCATGTAAACAGTATATCATTTATTTCAGCAAAGAATGGTAGTACCTTCCCAAAATTTCGTGTTATATGAAAAACTTTACTGTGATAGACGTATCCATATAATTTAACTTTAGCATGGGAATAAGTTGCTATGCTTATTGTTTGCATGTGAAAAGTATCCTTGATTCCGTGCTACCAATGATTGCGCGACAGTTTGCTTTTCGATCCAATATATTTCGAAATGTATTGTTTGGAAGAAATTTTTTTTTAAGAAATTTATCAAAGAGCGAGCGATGTGATTTCTTGTAAGCAACTATTCGTAGCATATTGATAAATTTGAATATTTTTTAGAACTGTCAGGAAGTTACAACAATCAATATGTATTTCATCTACTTTTTCCTTCTGTTCCTCTCCCAATTAAACATCAAAACTGCAGTAAGTTCGTTAAAAATTGAAAAATAAAATACTTCAATATTTCGAAGACATCTCATATTCAACGAAAGATGAAATGGATAGTATCATGTAATTTCAGAAGGCGCAAACAGAACAAACAATGCTTTTCGATTTATCGTTGACGGAAGTGAATGAAGAACGAATAGAACTACCAGATTCATTAATAAAAGAAGCGGTAAAGGAACAGATAACGTCGTCGAATGTACAGATGCAAGGAGCAAATGCTGAACAAAAGTTACGGAATCCTGTATCTCCAAAAAAAATATGGATGAGACGATATGTAATGGATCAGACGGATGAAAAGCTGAGTGGTTATTCGGAACGCAACAAAACTTCCTTTCAATCATCGGATTTGCAAAAAAGTTTGATAAATCGTACCGACAAAAAGCCGCACAATTGTTCAGAATGTGGAAAACGTTTCTCTCATTTATCGGATTTTAAAAAGCATATGCGAACTCATACCGGTGAAAAGCCGTACAATTGTTCAGAATGTGGAAAACGTTTCTCTTATTCATCGTCTTTTAAAGCACATATGAGGATTCATACCGGTGAAAAGCCGCACAATTGTTCAGAATGTGGAAAACGTTTCATTTCTTCATCAAATTTACAAATTCATATGTTGACCCATACGGGTGGAAAGCCGCATGGTTGTCCAAAGTGCAAAAAAAATTTCTCTCAATTATCAACTTTACAAAGACATATGAGGATTCATACCGGTGAAAAGCCGTACAATTGTTCAGAATGTGGAAAACGTTTCGCTCATTTATCGGCTTTTAATACACACATGAGGATCCATACCGGTAAAAAGCCGTACAGTTGTTCAGAATGTAGAAAATGTTTCTCTGATTTATCGGGTTTTAAAAAACATATGTGGGATCATACCGGTGAGAAGCCGCACAATTGTTCAGAGTGTGGAAAACGTTTCTCTGATTCATCAACTTTCAGAGAACATATGAGGATTCATACCGGTGAAAAGCCGTACAATTGTTCTCAATGTGGAAAACGCTTCCCTCATTTATCAACTTTTAAAGCACATATGAGGATTCATACCGGTGAAAAGCCGTACAATTGTTCAGAATGTGGAAGACATTTCTCAGATTCATCAACTTCAAGAAAACACATGCGGATTCATACCGGCGAAAAGCCGCACGGTTGTTCCGTATGCGAGAAAAGATTTTCTCGCAAAAGTGTTTTGAATAGGCACATGAAAATTCATCGCGAAGAGAGTTCCTCGTCCAATTGGACTGTATGCAACCAAGGCAATTCATTATGAAATCACATATCAATAAGTTTGTGAAAGGAAATAGTTAAATACATTTAAATTCAAATATGCGCTGATATTTCTGTTACTGCAAAGTGCTTCTGTATTTCATCAATTGAATTCTTGCAATTTAATCACAATTTCATCATTCATCCTTTACCATTCATTCTTTATCATATTTTTTTCATCTTTGCTGTTACTGTCTTTCCTTAATTATAAGTTCTTAATTTTCCATTTGACATGCATAATAGCATTGTTTTTTCGTTATGTTCATTTGCTGTTTCTCTTATTTCATTTCAGTTATTAAAATTTTCTATATTTTAATTATCAGTTTGCATATTTATCATTATGAAATGCATAACAGACATTTTAATAAAATCCTATTGGACAGCAACAATTGGTATGTGAAAATAAAGAAGAAAGGCTGTGATAATGGAAGATCTGATAACATAGTATTGTGATCGAAATGCAATTCGTTAATAGATCGAAGTATTTCCCTCTGAATTGGTTTATAGTGTTTTAACAATTGAAAGGAAAATCCATTTCTACTAATTTATTTTATATTCATTTTATTTTAAATCCGTTGCAATTAATTTTTTATTGAAAATATTCATTTCCTTAATCAGTTCTTCATTTAATCTTTCCACCAATTAGATTGCAATTAATTCAAATTAACAAATAGAGAACTTCTTTCTTTTAACGTTATTTACTCGTGTTGTTTATGGCGAAAAATTTTTCTGCCGTTTATTTTTGGCATTGCTCAATTATCAACAATTTTGAATTACGATAAGGATCCGGAATAAATTTTATAGAACACTTATTCACTTATTCACTTATTCATTTATTCGCTTATTCTGAAATCTCAAAAGTGGAGAAATATTTATTTCATATTCTAGCTGCTTATTCGTTTCATCTTATTTCGGAGTGAAATTTAATAACAAACCTAAAAAGTGCATAATTTCACAAATAAAAGCCAAAAGAGGAGAAAAGAAAATGAAGCATTATTGCATTCTTTCCTCACTCTACTCCTCACTCTACCTGTAATCCAATTATTTGTTTTGTAAGAATTATCACTAGATTAATATTTCAGCTTAAACAAAATTTCGATGTAATCAAAAATCTTCAAAATTAGGTATCCAACTATAAGGTAATCTTTTCTTCACATTTCATTGTCTATAAAATACAACAATTATGATAAACAAAATTTTAACTGAAATGTTAAATACAACCAATTAGTACTGTTAAGAAGTGACTTTCTTGAATTACAGCAAATCCTTCACGTTTTTGATTTAAAAAATCAACATATTTCAGCGGTATTGAATGGTTATGAAGTAAAAAAAAAAGCGGAAATTCCAGCATTTTTATTATCTCTAATCTTAGTAGCTATAGAAACCAAAATATCGATGATTTCAAAAGTTAATCCAATATGATCACATGTATTTTATCCTCATTTTATTGTAAGCAAATTTCTGCTCCATAAATTTAATCCGTCGTATCGCTTTTGTATGTGGCGATATTGTTTTAATTTGCAAACATTGATGGTACAGATAACTTAATTATTACACTAGTATTCAAACTCGTTTTGATTTGTAGTGCTACTAATGTTTTCGATTATCGTATTAGATGATTCAGCCTTTATAGAAATAGTAATGTGAAGATTCGTAATAAATGATTTAATGACATTTTAATGATAAAGAAAAGCTGAAGACGTGAAGTAAATTTTTCTGATTTTACCCACATGAGCTTTGCAATAAGTATCACTATTCATAAAAGCGTGTGTAGTTCTTTTTGTTACGGTATTTAACTTATGTTTTCCCATTTGATGAGAAGCTCTTCTCAGAATTAGAATCAATAATATGTTTCTTCAGAATTATATATAAATTAATAATATATATTGCTTAATTTTTCCCTCTCACTAATATCAATTCAATTATGAAGGTATGGGTAAACCAAAACGAAATTGTACAAAAAATATTGCCAATGCATTGCATAAATTGTCTTTTATAATTCAATACAATAGTTGAAATGAAATTATTCAGTATGATAGATTAAATACCAAATACTGTTATTTAATTGTCAAACGTGGATTATTAATACACATTGTTTGCCACTCCCATCTTTATAAGCATTTACAGATACGATCCATTGATAGTTTCTAATAAAAGCTATTTAGTGACCTCTGTCCTTCCACAAACTTCATTCAGAAAACACTATTTCATTTATTTCAACGAAAATTAGTAATCTTTTCCCATAATTTCGAGTCATACAAAAAATACTTTATTACGATAAACGTATCCATAAAATTTAGCTTTGGAATGGGAATAAGTTGCTATGCGTGTTTGTTTGCATGTGATAAATGTTCTTATTGTACTAGCAATGATTGCGCGACAGTTTCCTTTTCGATGCTAATATATTTCGAAACGTATTGTCTGGAAGAAATTTCATTTTAAGCAATTTGTCAAAGAACGAGCGCTGTGATTTCTTATAAGCAACCATTCATAGTATATTGATAAATTTGAATATTTTTAGAACTGTCAGGAAATTACAACAATCAATATGTTTTTCATCAATCTTCTCCCCTTCTTCTTCCAATTAGACATCCAAACTACAGTAAGTTCATTAAAAATTGAAAAATAAAACTCTTTATTAATACGAAGATATCACATTTTCAACGATGAATGAAATGGATAGTATCATGTAATTTCAGGAGGCGCAAACGGAACAAACAATGCTCTTCAATTTATCGTTGCCGGATGTGAGTGAAAGACGAATCGGAATGGAACTGCAGCATTCATTAATAAAAGAAGTGGAAAAAGAAAAGATAGCGTCGCCGAATATACCAATCCAAGGAGCGAATGCTGAACAAAAATTACGGAATCCTGTATTTCCAAAAAAAATATGGATGAAAAGACATATAATGGATCAGACGGATGAAAAGCTGTGTGGTTATTCGGAATGCAACAAAACTTTCTCTCGATCATCCGATTTGCAAAAAAATTTGATAAATCGTACCGGTGAAAAGCCGTGCAGTTGTTCAGAATGTGGAAAACGATTCGCTCATTTATCGGCTTTTAAAACACATATGAGGATTCATACCGGTGAAAAGCCATACAATTGTTCAGGATGTGGAAAACGTTTTTCTGATTCATCAGCTTTTAAAAAACATATGTTGACCCATACCGGTGAAAAGCCGCACAATTGTTCAGAATGTGGAAAACGTTTCTCTGTTCCATCGATTTTAAAAAAACATATGAGGATTCACACCGGTGAAAAGCCATACAATTGTTCTGAATGTGGAAAACGTTTTTCTGATTCATCAGCTTTTAAAAGACACATGTTGGCTCATACCGGTGAGAAGCCGTACAATTGTTCAGAATGTGGAAAACGCTTCTCTGATCCACCGGCTTTTAAGAGACATATGAGGACTCATACCGATGAAAAGCCGCGCAATTGTTCAGAATGTGGGAAACGTTTCTTTGATTCATCAAATTTGCGAATTCATATGTTGACCCATACGGGTGAAAAGCCGCACGGTTGTCTCAAATGCAAAAAAAATTTCTCTCAATTATCAAATTTAGAAAGACATATGAGGATTCATACCGGTGAAAAGCCGTACAAATGCTCTGAATGTGGAAAATGTTTCTCTAATTTATCGAATTTGAAAAAACACATATGGATTCACACCGGTGAAAAGCCGCACGGTTGTTCCGTATGCAAGAAAAGATTTTCTCAAAAAAGTATTTTGAATGGGCACATGAAAATTCATCGCGAAGAGAGTTCCTCGTCCAATTGGATTGCATGCAACCAAAGCAATTCATTATGAAATCACATATGAAGAGGTTTGAGAAAAGAAACAGTTAAATGCATTTAAATTGAAATATATGCTGATGTTATCATCCCTTAACTATAAATTTCTAGTTTTCCATTTGACATGCAAAAAGCATTGTTTTTCTGCTATATTCATTTGTTGTTTCTCTTATTTCATTTCAGTGATTAAAATTTTCTATATTATTATTCTTCGTTTTATTAAATTTATCATTATGAAATGCATAACTTTAATAAAATCCAATTAGACAACAACGATTGGTATGTGAACATAAAAAAGAAAAGCTGTGATAATGGAAGATCTGATAACATAGTATATTGATCGAAATGTGATTCATTAATAGACCGAAACATTTTCCTGTGAATTGGTTTATTAGTAGTTTAACAATTAAAAAAGCTAAGCAAGGTAATGAAAATAAGAAGAATATTAATTAGCAAAATGATTAATCATTTTATGGGATGAATCGATTGAGCGAGAAATGTTTTTGCAGCATAAATTATTTTTATTATTTAAACATATTTACTATAAATTATTCCAATTTTTACAACATTCCAAACTAAGAGAGTTATGATCTTCGCGGGAAGAATTTGAGGTTTGTATTTGATAAGTATTTTTTGCCTTCTTTGTATTTTATGGAAGTCTGTAGTAAATTCATAAGTCATGAGAATAGCAACAATTTCTCGTTGATTTGAAAATGGTGCAATAATGAAGAAACATTGCAGATATTACCTATACTATTATCACCTACACTATAATTCCTTGAAATATGGGAAAATGAATATTTCAATCATATATTTTTAAATTAACCTGCAATTGCTATAAATATGCTGCATCCTACAAATGTCGCAATAAAGTCTCGCTCCTTTAGCCAAAATGTTATATTACATTTGAAAAAATTTGCATATAATATATGAATTTGTTCCCATCTCAATCAAAATGCTTTATTTCCTTCAAAATCTTTGAAGTAAATATAGCATTTTGCTTCCTCTAATTTATGTGAATATAATTTCACATAAAATTATTCATAACTAATTTATTTATCAATTTTCAATCAATAAACAACCTACGAAATATATGTTTTACAACTTTCGATAAATGGAAAATTTCAAAATATCCTATGAATATAAAGCAATGATAATTTTGTCTGATATCACAATTATAGCTTGACCTCCAGAATAATTTTCTAACTGACGGTACTGCCAATAATCAGCCATTTTCTTTTCAGCATTTAGTGTCAACTGATACTTTAAAAGCTCCTTGCCATACGATTCAATAAAATTTCTTTTTTGACCGAAAATTTTTTTGTTGTAATTTAAGCAAAAGTGTGTTTTTAATGACATATTATAAACTTCTGATTCCCCATTTGATGAAAAAGCTCTTTTCAGGGTGAGAATCAATAATATATTCTTTTCAGAATCATATATAAATCAATATTATATATTGCTAAATTTTTCCTCTCATTAATGTCATCTCAATTTTAAAGGTACGGATAAACTAAAATGAAAATGTGCAAAAAATATTGCCAATGCTTAACATATATTATTTTTCATAATTTAATGCAATAGTTAAAATGAAATTATTCAATATGATAGATTAAACATCAAATACTGTTATTTTATTGTTAAACGTGGATTATGTTTATATATGTTGTTTGTCATTCATATATTTATAAGCATTTACCGATACGATCCTTTGACAGTTTCTAATTAAAACTATTTGGTGACCTCTGTCCTTCCACAAATTTCATTCAGTAAACATTATTTCATTTATTTCAACAAAGAATGGTAGTCTCTTCCCATAATTTCGAGTGATATAAAAAACTTTACTACGATAAACGTATCCGTAAAATTTAGCTTTGGAATGGGAATACGTAGCTATGCGTGTTGTTAGCATGTAATAAATGTTCCTATTGTACTACTAATGATTGCGTGATAGCTTGCTTTTCGATGCTAATATATTTAGAAATATATCGTTTATAAGAAATTTCTTTTTCAAGCAATTTCTCAAAGAGCGAGCTGTGTGATTTCGTATAAGCAACCATTTATAGTATATTGATAAATTTGAATATTTTTTAGAACTGTCAGGAATTACAACAATCAATATGTATTTCATTTACTTTCTTCTCCTCTTCTTTTCCCAATTAAACATCAAAACTACAGTAAGTTCATTAAAAATTAAAAAATAAAACACTTTATTAATACGAAGATATCACATTTTCAACGATGAATGAAATGGATAGTATCATGTAATTTCAGGAGGCGCAAACGGAACAAACAGTGCATTTCAATTTATCGTTGCCGGAAGTGAGTGAAAAACGAATCCGAATGGAACTGCAGCGTTCGTTAATAAAAGAAGTGGAAAAAGAACAAATCATGTCGTCGAATACACCAATCCAAGGAGCGAATGCTGAACAAAAATTACAGAATCCTACATCTCCGAAAAAAATATGGATGAAAAGACATATAATGGATCAGATGTATGGAAAGCGGCGTGAATATTCGGAATGCAACAAAACTTTCTCACAATCATCCGATTTGCAAAAGAATTTGATAAATCGTACCGGCGAAAAACAGGACTATTGTTCAGAATGTAGAAAACTCTCCACTTGTTCATCAAATTCGCAAACTGATATTTTGACCCATATGTGTGGAAAGCCGCACGGTTGTCCAAAATGCAAAAAAATTTTCGTTCAATTATCGAGTTTAAATAGACATGGGAGAATTCATACCGATGAAAAGCCGTACAATTGTTCAGAATGTGGAAAACGTTTCGCTCATTTATCGGTTTTTAAAACACATATGAGGATTCATACCGATGAAAAGCCGTACAATTGTTCAGAGTGTGGAAAACGTTTCGCTCAATTATCGAATTTGAATAGACATATGAGGATTCATACCGGTGAAAAGCCGCACAATTGTTCGGAATGTGGAAAACGATTCGGTCATTTATCGGCTTTTAAAACACATATGAGAATTCATACCGGTGAAAAGCCGTACAATTGTTCAGAATGTGGAAAACATTTTTCTGATCCATCAGCTTATAAAAAACACACGCGGATTCACACCGGTGAAAAACCGCACGGTTGTTCCGTATGCGAGAAAAGATCTTCTCGAAAAAGTGTTTTGAATAGGCACATGACAACTCATCGCAAAGAGAATTCCTCATTCAATTGGATTGCATGCAACCAAAGCAATTCATTATGAAATCACATATGAAGAGAAATGAAATAAATGCATTTAAATTGAAATATGTGCTGTTGTTTCTGGTACTGCAGAGTGCTTCTGTATTTCATCAATTCAATTCTTGCAATTTAATAACAATTTCATCTTTGTCGTTACTGTCACTCCTTAACTATAAATTTCTAGTTTTCCATTTGACATGCAAAAAGCATTGTTTTTCTGCTATATTCATTTATTGTTTCTCTTATTTCATTTCAGTGATTAAAATTTTCTATATTATTATTCTTCGTTTTATTAAATTTATCATTATGAAATGCATAACTTTAATAAAGTCCAATTGGACAACAACGATTGTTATGTGAACATAAATAAGAAAACCTGTGATAATGGAAGATCTGATAACATAGTATATTGATCGAAATGTGATTCATTAATAGACCGAAACATTTTCCTGTGAATTGGTTTATTAGTAGTTTAACAATTAAAAAAGATAAGCAAGGTAATGAAAATAAGAATGAGAATTGGCAAAATGATTAATCACC